GGGGGGGGGGGGGGGTCATCTCAGCCTAAGGACATCCGGTCGATCGGTGATGTTTCTCTTCCAACATCAGCAGCCGACTTGCTCAGGGGTAGGAATGGTGTATTTACGTCCTAATATCTCGCCCCCCCCCCCGCCCATCCCGGAGGGGGGAGGAGGAAGCGTCAGACGCCCTCTATTATGGTTTTCCACAGTGGGGTTTCTACCTCGCAAATAATTCACGAAGGAGCTGTGGACGACACGGTTGCCTAGGATCAGCCTCCACAACGGCTGTGTCTATAGCATCATTGGCATGAGGCTACCACCACCCACCTCATGTCCGTCAGCGGCAACATAGCAATGTATGATCCCTAACCCTGTTTCCATCGTTATTTCAACCACGGGTATGTCCACAGCTGGCAGTAGAACTGTATTTGCTACAATTTTCGGCAGATACCATGCTGGCCCTTTGTATGCCCACACAAGCTCACGCGCTTGGATATTATGTTCCCCGGGTAGCGCTAGGAAGGGGGGGGGGTTGGTGGCAGCGCCTCTTTAGTCAGCATGGCCAGGACCCGTTGTTTTTTTTTTTGTTTTTTGGGGGGTGGGGGTGAGAGGCATAATTTTGTTCACTTCCATTGGGGTGTCTTAGTTAAGGACGTGTAAGATTTCTAGTTGACCATAGGAAAGCACTATTCTTTAGTCAGCATGGCCAGGACCCGTTGTTTTTTTTTTTGTTTTTTGGGGGGTGGGGGTGAGAGGCATAATTATGTTCACTTCCATTGAGGTGTCTTAGTTAAGGACGTGTAAGATTTCTAGTTGACCATAGGAAAGCACTACAATTGGTTTCTAAAACGTTTACCATTGGAGCGCTGCACAACATAGATCCAAATAGTGGACCAGAGAACCGCCCCTCTAACCGTCTTCCTTCTAATGGGGTATCTTGACTATTTCCAGGAAAGATACAAGCTGGAGCACGAGCTCGAGACGTGGATCAAGAAGTACGACGAGGAGATGATTGACAGAATGGTGAGTTAAGACGACGTCGTTGACAAAAAAATGGTGACGAGACAAAATGGGTGAATTACGACAACGCCGAGACAAGTAGGTGAGTTAAGACAACAAAGTCGAGACAAAATGGTGAGTTAAGACAACAAAGTCGAGACAAAATGGTGAGTTAAGACAACAAAGTCGAGACCAAAATGGTGAGTTAAGACAACAAAGTCGAGACAGAATGGTGAGTTAAGACAACAAAGTCGAGACAGAATGGTGAGTTAAGACAACAAAGTCGAGACCAAAATGGTGAGTTAAGACAACAATGTCGAGACCAAAATGGTGAGTTAAGACAACAATGTCGAGACAAAATCGTGAGTTAAGACAATGCTATATGATTCTGGGAACA